CTTTTTACATACCAATTGATTTTGCAGTTTACATACCAGTTGATTTTGCTCTATTTACATACCAGTTGATTTTGCTCTATTTACATACCAGTCGGTTTTGCTCTATTTACATACCAGTCCATTTTGCTCTATTTACATACCAGCTGATTTTGCAGTTTACATACCAGCTGATTTTGCAGTTTACATACCTGCTTATAGTTTGTTCTATTTTCATCCCAGTTGATTTTTTCTTTATTTTCATACAAAGTGATAGTTTGGCTCTTTTGTATGTGATGTTTTAGAATTTTAGGAATTTTAATTTTTTCTTTTTTGGCTGGGTTTAATGTAACTCACAAACACTTTATATGTCATATAGAGACTTTCCAGGTTTACTGGTGAAGGAAGACCTCAGGTGCCCCTCCATGCATTATTTCAGGCACAAACATCTGAGTAGAACATCTGGCATTCCATTAGCTAGCTGTATAGCTAAATAGCTTCCTGACATGAAAGAATCTGAAGTCCTTTGCAGGACTTGAACCCACAGCAATGAGGAGCAAGGGGTTTGAATTGTCACAACCTTAACCACTTGACCACAAAATCTGTTTACAAAGTGGCCACAATGCAATAAATCAATAACAAATAATGATATCTTTGATCTGTGGTCATTGCATATATATACATTCAATTCATGATATTCTAATATTTCACACAATGCAAAACTTTACAGATAAATCCATAAATCCTTCTATGTAACAATTTCACCTTTAGCCTTTAATGGGCATATGATCTAGATTTTTTCAATTGACCATTAATTATTTTTCTTTCACTGATCTATTGACCCGGGTATTTAAGCATAACAAAGTGAATAAATATTATGATATTTCATTAATATTATCACCCTATCGAAACCTTTGTTGACAAAATACTGCCACGATTACAAGTAATTATGATAAAAAACGCAATAAAAGCTGATTAAAAGTAAAAACATCCAGGTCATGACCCTGATTCTTATAGATGTTTACTTAGAAACCATTATTTTTTACAAGTCAAATGCTTAGACTAGCCATGATTCAGCCTGGTATTTGAATTTTTTTATCATCAAATAGACTCCTTCCTGAATAATTAGCGCAAATCTTTCTTTCCTTAAGAAGAATATTCCAAATACTGTTTACCACGCAAGAGCCAGATGGACACTGGTTTCGAGCTTCGTATTTCAATTCAATAAAGGTAACCCAACGAAAAAAAAAAGCATGGCGGATGGCTTCCCCAATAGGCACCCCTTTTTGCGATCTTTTTTCGTCCAGGGTTTAAGGATTTATAGTGCGGGCTCAGACCTTGGTCTGAATTGGTCTCTCAAGCGTAGAATCAGTTGCTGCAAGCAGGCTAAATGTTCAGCGACCTAGTTAAATGTTAAATTCCCTTATTTATTAACAATGAATGTTTTAACTTTAAATTTGTCATACAAATTTATCTGAGCATTATTACCTAAGGGCTTACCAAAAACAAACCTATCACATTATAAAAATATGTTCGGAAATTCATCATTCTACTAAAATACATAAATAAATTAGTTTTCCCAAGTAGGAGAAACAATCTCACACCAAATTACACTTCCTACAAACATTAAGAAGTCTAATAAATAAGTTACTCGGCTGCCTGAAAAAAACAGGCTGTTTAAGAAAAAAAATTACCTCATAAAACATCTAGGCGCTTTCATGCTTTTTAGAAACCACAATTACAGAGACTTGAGTCTGTGACAATATTGATTGCGGGAATAATGTGCCACTTAACACAAGACAGCTTCAAAAAGAAAGAGATGTTTTATAGGTACGGTTAAATTGTCAGGTTATGATTATGTCCTAATTATAGACAATACATGTATAATAACACAATCTTCATATCATTTTTATGGGACGGAATTGCTACCCTGTTTGTAGTAACTGAAGGATGGCTTGGAAAAACGGAAGGTTGGTTTGGAGTAATAGAAGGTCAGTTTTGATAAGCAGAAAGTGAGTTTTTGATTAACTGAAGGATCAGCTTGGAGTACGAAAAGGTGACTTGGAGTACAGAAAGGTGGCTTGGAGTACCATAAATTGGTGGCTTGGAGTACCAAAAGTGTGGCTTGGAGTACCAGAAAGGTGGCTTGGAGTACCAGATAGGTGGCTTGGAGTACCAGATAGGTGGCTTGGAGTACCAGAAAGTTGGCTTGGAGTATCAAATAGGTGGCTTGGAGTACCAGCAAGTTGACTTGGAGTACCAGATAGGTGTATCTGGTGGCTTAGAGTACCAGAAAGGTCTGCTCTGAGTACGAGATGGTTTTCTTGCCAGATGAGTGGTTTTCAGTAACATAAGGACTGGTCAACTAGTACAATAAGGTCAACTTGAACAAGAAGGGTGGCTTGTAGTAAGAGATAGGCTTTGAGTAACAGGATGTTGGCTCAGAGCAATATCAGGTCAGGTTAAATTGCCTTAACACTAAACACCAAAATGAAAAAGTCTTTATGAACTGGAAAATAAAAATAACTGAGACATAATGGGACTTTAATAACCTCTAAAAAAGCCTCTACTGGAAAAAATGCAATAAACATTTGTTTAGAGTAAATATAATATTGCATCAATATTTATAGTGACTTCTTAAGAAGTGAAAATCCCTGTAAAACTTTGCAATTGGCAATAAAATCAAAGTCAGGGACATAATTTTCTTTTCCATAATCCATCTGCAAATATAATTCCACTTTAATGTGCAATAAAATCCTAATAATACCTGATCACTTTACTGCATTTACCCCCCTCTCAGTTAAATACAATCACACAGAACTGTTTTACATTTATAAACTTTTATGTAAACCATAAATTAATCTTGCTTTAACAATATTGAATTTTCCTCACTTTCTTATCTTTTTTCTTTTCTTTCTGAGTGACTAAAAAAATTTGGAGACAGTCTGAAAATAAACTGCTGTCATTGGTCTATTCAAAATAGATGATTAAAATGAACCAATCAAACTGCTAGATGATCAGACTGGTTGCCATCACACTATATCTCTCAAATCTGTCAATAAATGAAGATTCTATGAAAAATGGTTAGAAAGAGTGCTGAAAAGAAACTAGAACTCCGCGAGTCGGATGTGTCGCCTTGTAACAATGTATTTTGGAGAAAGGCAGGAAAAAAAGAAATTGAAAAATAAAAAAAGGCAAATAAAAAAAAAAAAATAAGTGCGGAAAGGTTTCGTGACTGCATTCTTTCATAAGACTACATTCTATGATTTTTCAAGTTAGCTTTCATAATTTGAGAAAATGCCCAGGAAAAAAAAAAGTAAAATTTAAATTAACAAAGGGAAAAATCAAAAAAAAAGATTGCAGAGTACCGGGCCTTTTGCATGCACTTCCGGGATTGAAAGAAACATCATACCCAAATTTGAATCAATCAGACTTATGTGTGAGTTATCTCCCCAAAAAGCTTTAGGGGACGCCGACGACGACGCCGACAACGACGCCGACAACGACGCCGACACAGACGCCGCCGCCGACGCCGCCGACAAAAGTAACCCCTATATGTCACCTTTTCAAGGCGACACAAAAAATAAGATATGCAAAATAAGTAAATTTAAGGTGAAATAATTTAAGCTTGAAGCTCTTGAAAAGACAAATTTGTAATGCCCTGAAAATGCCCCCCATTAATACTGGTGCTTGAAATAAATAATAAATTATTAATAATAATCTTATTAGCAGGATCTGCTGCACTTCCAAAATATTGACATTAAATATCACAAAAATAGACTGTGTTACAAAACATGGATTGACGTGGAAAGCTGATTAAAGAGTTCACTGCATGCCCAGACCATTAAAGGATTAAAGTGCACAAGAGTTGCAGTTTAAAATGCATATTCATTCTATACAGACATATTCTTAAAGCTGCATGCCTCTACATTAGCAAAAATATTTTAAAAAATTTAAGAGGAGTTGTGTTCACAAGATTTCGGGACGTACGGACGGACGGACAAGTGCAACGCTAAGTGGGGGCAAAAAAATCAAACTTAAGAGAAATTGACTAAGATTTAAGAAAAGTTAAAAGATTCACAATCCAAGTCATAATTTATATATCACATGTGATTAATGTGTTATTTTGCAGTATTTATCACCATATTTCTACTGCATTACTAAGGCAGTGAGTATATGCTATTTTTGCATATTTTGACCTCTTTTTGGCAATTAGCATTGATTGTATTAATAAGTGCCATTTGCAATGAGTAAATAACTTTCTTTGTTCAATTCACAATATTTTTACTTTTAAATACATGTTTTTTAAATTTCATGAAAATTAGCATGAATCTACAGGCATGCGGCTTTAATGCTACTCTATTTTTACAAAGGATTGAATGTAAACTATGTAACACTTTAAGAGGATTTTGTCAGGCTTAACAACTACAATGTCCAATCTACTGGAGCTCTAGTTTAAGCTTCAAAACTGCTGGCCTAATTTTAATTCTCAAAATTAAAATCATGCATAACTGTAAGACTTACTGGCTGCATAAAAAAAATTATACTCGTAGCTAAACCATCTTTAGCTTTTTCTCCATCAGTAAAGTTATAGGGATTTTATATCTAAGACAAAATGCCACATTGACAATTTTTTTCACATTCAGCTCTACAGATAGTCCAACTGATATTAGCATGTATGGTTTAAATCTATTATTAAAACATTATAAAGAGGAGCTGTGGCCTAGTGGTTAAGGTGTCTTGCCTCTCAACCCATGGGATCATGGGTTCGAGCCCTACTCAGGTCTAGACCATATTTCTTCATATGGCACTAGTACTGGTTGGTTCCAGGAAGTGGACTCGAAAGTGATTAATATAAAGTGCAAGAACTTGTTTCGCAATCGATCTTATATAAATACGTTTAAGACAGAGTAATTAAAGTTAATCATTAAAGATTAATCATTTCCAAGGCTTATAAATGTTTCATATTTCAGGCTGCAAACAGTAAGTATTCCTGACTTTTACTCAATAATGGATACACTTACCTCTTGTTTTAGTGCCCCATTTGGACATTCTCTCAGAAAATCTCTGTACCTGAAAAAAAAGAATACATTTTTTATATAAAGAGTTTCCATTTTATAGTAGAGTTCTTTCCCTTTAAACAACACTGTTACCATTGTCATAAAACATTCAAATCATAACATTAATAACCACAGGGTCCCTGAAGTTTGAAATAACAAGGCATAGAATGACATGCTGTGGAATATTTTTCCCACCTACCTCTAACTGACCTTGATATGCTGGACACTTACTCTCATGATACTGAATATTTGTATCAAGTCATACTGAAATCTCTTCATACATGTAGATTAGATATGCCCTGACAAGATCAAAACTAATCCTCTCCTGAATGACCTTGACTTTCTGCAATATTGACCTTGAGATTACACAAAAATGACCTTGACTCTACACAATATTGACCTTGAGTTTACACAATATTGACCTTGAGTTTACACAATTCTTCTGACAAGCGTATACCTTTGAACTCAAAGAGTGACCTTGACCTTTGACCTTATTTCAACACTCATACCTGCAGCACTATGTTTAATGATGGTTAACATTAAATTTTGTATGAAGTAAAACAAATATTCCGTAATGCATATAGGAGATATGATCCTGGCAAAATCTTGGACTAAAATTTCATAATTTCAAGTGACCTTGACCATACATTTACTGACCTCGATTCTGCATGTAAATTATACTCAGTGTCTCTTTCCAAGTCAAGATGATGCTTGAATGCCCTTTAATCATAACAAAAACATGGCCAATTTATTACTGTTGATTGATTTTTAGGGATTAATTAAAATTAACATCATATTTCTCTTGAAAATTATAATGTACATCTAACAAAAAAGCTCCACCTCTGAAAGTACAATTAAACGGGCAACAGTATATGACAAGGGCAATCTGATATCATGTGTTAACTTTCAAAAGATGATAGTGTTTCTTCATTTGTTAAACAGAATTATGAAGAATGGATATATCTTATAACAATATCAACTCCGAGAAATAATTACATTTTTTTTAACATTATACCAGGCAAAATATTCTTTAAAAGTTTTACTGGAATTGAATTACCATACTATTTATCATAAGTGCTCCGACCTTTTAATAAGTGCCCCATAAAGCAAATTTAAAAAAAATCCTTTTAGACAGTAAAGGAAGACTGAAAAAAAACTAAGACAGGTGTGCACACATATTTGGAAGTGAGGCAGACACTCACTCATATGAGGCCGACATACACTCATATATGTCAGATGTACACACAAATCAGGCAGGTTATTAATGAACTGTTCACTCATTTGAGGCAGGGGTGCACCAAGCAGACATGCACTCATAGGTGAGTGTCTACTCATTTGAGGCAGGGGTGCACCAAGCAGACATGCACTCATAGGTGAATGTTCACTCATTTGAGACAGGGGTGCACCAAGCAGACATGCACTCACATGCACTCATTTGAGGCAGGGTGCACCAAGCAGACATGTACTCATAAGTGAGTGTTCACTCATTTGAGGCAGGGGTGCACCAAGCAGACATGCACTCATAAGTGAGAGTTCCAGGGATGCACCAAGCAGACATGCACTCATAAGTGAGAGTTCACTCATTTGAGACAGGGGTGCACCAAGCAGACATGCACTCATATGAACTCACATGCACTCATTTGAGGCAGGGGTGCACCAAGCAGACATACACTCATAGGTAAGTGTCCACTCATTTGAGACAGGAGTGCACCAAGCAGATATGTACTCATAAGTGAGTGTTCACTCATTTGAGACAGGGGTGTACCAGGCAGACATGTACTCATAAGTGAGTGTTCACTCATTTGAGACACAGGGGTGCATCAAGCAGACATGCACTCATATGCACTCACATGCACTCATTTGAGACAGGGTGAACCAATCAGACATGTACTCATAAGTGAGTGTTCACTCATTTGAGACAGGGGTGCACCAAGCAGACATGTACTCATAAGTGAGTGTTCACTCATTTGAGACAGGGATGCACCAAGCAGACATGCACTCATAAGTGAGTGTTCACTCATTTGAGACAAGGGTGCACCAAGCAGACATGCACTCATAGGTGATTGTGCACTCATATAAGGGGAAAGTGGATTCATAAGAGCCAGGTGTGCACTCAAACAAGGCAGTTATGAGCTAATACAAGGCTAACTAGAGGATGCTTTTGTAAAAAAGCGCATGTCTCCCCCACTGCTGAGAATAACTGTGAATGGAAACAGGAATGGAAATGGAGATAAGATAATGTAAATACCCGGTAGTCACTTCAATGAAGGCTGTCTATGGATGGTTTCTATTGTTAAGGTTGTATGAGAAGATGCTTCCTATGAAGTTTGAGGGTTGTAGGTCAAAAGGAACTCTAGTTATCATCCGGAAATGAGAAATTGACCAACGGTCACTGTGACCTTGACCTTTGACCTACTGACCCCAAAAACAATAGGGATCATCTGCTCTATAAGACCAATCATCCTATGAAGTTTGAGGGCTGTAGGTCAAAAAAGGAACTCTAGTTATCATCCGGAAACGAGAAATTGACCAACGGTCACTGTGACCTTGACCTTTGAACTACTGACCCCAAAAACAATAGGGATCATCTGCTCAATAAGACCCAATCATCCTATGAAGTTTGAGGGCTGTAGGTCAAAAGGAACTCTAGTTATCATCCGGAAACGAGAAATTGACCAACGGTCACTGTGACCTTGACCTTTGAACTACTGACCCCAAAAACAATAGGGATCATCTGCTCAATAAGACCAATCATCCTATGAAGTTTTGAGGTCTGTAGGTCTAAAGGAACTCTAGTTATCATCCGGAAACGAGAAATTGACCAACGGTCAGTGTGACCTTGACCTTTGACCTACTGACCCCAAAAACAATAGGGATCATCAGCTCTATAAGACCAATCATCCTATGAAGTTTGAGGGCTGTAGGTCAAAAGGAACTCTAGTTATCGTCCGGAAACGAAGAATGGACGGACGGACGGACTGACGGACAGACGGACTGACGGACTGACGGACGGACAGGGCAAAAACAATATGTCTCCCCCCGAGGTGGGGGAGACATAATTAATACAAGGCAGGTGTGTACTCTTACAAGGCAGGTTTACTCTCATATGCGGCAGGACTGCTTATATATTTAACTAAGATTCATTATCTACTTGACACGAATATTTACATGGTTTTCACATTATTTTACCATCGATTAAAATCCACCATTGATCTTAAAAAAGCTTCCTTAATTATCTTTGATGAATTATCTTATATGAGTAACGTTGAAAAAATGGTGTGATTATGATTATAAAACATTATTACATATGAATTAAGACCGGATCGAGACTCCTATAACATCATGTTGGCTCGGGAAAACTCAGACGATAACGATGAACGATGGACAAAGACTTGGCTAATTGAAAGAAATCAATCGAAGAATGGACGGACGGACTGACGGACAGACGGACTGACGGACTGACGGACGGACAGGGCAAAAACAATATGTCTCCCCCCGAGGTGGGGGAGACATAATTAATACAAGGCAGGTGTGTACTCATACAAGGCAGGTTTTTATTCTCATATGCGGCAGGACTGCTTATATATTTAACTACAATTCATTATCTACTTGACAGGAATATTTACATGGTTTTCACATTATAATACGATCGATTAAAATCCACCATTGATCTTAAAAAAGCTTCCTTAATTATCTTAGATGAATTATCTTTGATGAGTAACGATGAAAATGGTGTGATTATGATTATAAAACATTATTACATATGAATTTAGACCGGATCGAGACTCCTATAACATCATGTTGGCTCGGGGAAAATCAGACGATAACGATGAACGATGGACAAAGACTTGGCTAATTGAAAGAAATCAATCAAGATGAAAACATCATGCTTGTTCTAGACAATTTTATACCATAGCCTTATGACGGATATTTTTATTCTAGAAAATTACATCCTTTCTAACGAAAATAGTTATTTAAGACTCGTATTATATCTGCAGAGAGCCTGATATCTGTTTCCAGAAATAGCTGATGATAGAATTGCTTGGGGGGGGGGGGGGTTGTTCGCTTTTTTTATGCAAACTCGGCAAATTTCAGTTTATGGAAGAAATGAAAATAAATTGTTGGTTGATTTTTTATCGAAGCTATTAGTTTTGTATTAAAGATATAAATTTCTCTACAACATAATTGTTAAAACTGTTCAAGATATAAATTTCTGTACAACATTATTGTTAAAACTGTTCAAAGAAAATTAAATAAATAAAAATACCTTTCGACCATCTGCTATTGGTTACAATACACAGTTAAGTCAACATTATTTATATGAGCAACTTCAGTTTAAGCAAACATACAATTAAGTCCACAGGTGAAAAGTTCCGGTACAAAATAAATAAAACTGTTTAAACCGGGTATATTTTTGATATAATAATAAAAATTGTCATCTTAAAGCAGTAACAGGTTAACTCCTAATACATTTTAATGGGAGTTAACACATTACTGCACTAAGGTTCCATTAATTATATCAACTAACAAAATTTAATAGTCTTTATAATAAATGTTTAATTTTGTTAAAAATTGTCAGATATTTTTTTTAATACAAGTAAATAAAAAGGTTTTACATTTATTTGTTTGTATTTACCATAAGCAGACCTTTTTAAGACTCTTTGAGTTACTGGTTACCTTTTCCTTTTTTTATAGAAAATGCACCAATCTTTTAAATGGACTTATACCTAACATAAAATATAGATTTCTTGCAGTATGAGCAATTGCAGTGAGAATTAAATTCTAGAACATTGCCAGGTGAGAATTAAATTCTAAAACATTGCCAGGTGTAAATTAAATCTAAAACATTGCAAGATGAGAATTAAATTCTACAACATTCAAGGCAAGAGTTTAGTTCTAAGACATTGCCAGGTGAGAATTAAATTCTAAAACACTGCCACAAGAGAATTTAATTCTAAGACATTGCCAGGTGAGAATTTAGTTCTAAAACATTGCCAGGTGAGAATTTCAAAT